TTTAATTAGTTTCCTTTGTCATATTGCCATTTACAATAACATCAAATGTTGAAATTACACTGTAGCGTCAGTTAATGGTGATTTTGCTGTGTGAATAAATTAGTTATCTCGTATGATACTTAATAACGTGGGTACCCACTACAATCAATATTTTCCCACCTTGAGCATGCTTCCCAGCTCTTGAACATATGTGGAATAATTATTTAAAGAACTCACGTACCAGCTATTGTCTGTACAAGCTCAGTGTCGTTTCTCGTTTAAAAAGTTCCTTTTCCTACAGTACCTGGGACTGTTATAAGGCATGCAACTAAATCGAAGAATACTTTTCCACCACCATTCGACAATTGCTTATGTGATAAGAATAGTGAGATACAGTGTAATCTGCTCTGGGGATATGTTCTGAGCAATATTTTGTAGAGTGTATGTGTGTTTTTTGGCAAAAAATAACATCAAATTATGGGCAAAATGGTAGAAAACGTTTTTGCTTTACAGGATTGGCCTATGCGTTGCTTGCATCTCTCTCCCCAATTGTTGGTTTGTACACGTCTTTCCTTCCTGTTCTTATTTACTTTGTTCTTGGAACATCAAGACATTTAGCTGTAGGTAAGTTGTACTCATTATATTGATGGTTTTTACAATTTTTGGTTGAAATACATTGTCGAACTGGCTAAACAAAAACACTCTTTACTGTCTGCACTTTAAAGAGATGATACTTGCTTCTCTATACACTAGGACAAATGATGGAACTTTCAAACTTATGGAAAAACCCATAACCGAACATTTGAAACACTTTGGAAATGCAACAGTTTTGACCTAGAGTTCAGTAGACCGTATGCCGTAACATTGCCTCGTAAATATGTTTTAAATTTGCATGTAATATCGATAAACCTTCCCCAATAAGTAGACCCGGCCCTTTGTACTGTGCTTGTAGTTACTGTGGGATACTCTGCTTACATGAGTATCGATAATTTCTGAAGCACTTTGTACGTCAGCTTGAATTAGTAAAAAAAAGTGCTTAGTGTTCTTAATATTTTTTCCAGGAACGTTTGCAATCATATCCACAATGGTTGGAGAGGTTTGTGACAGAGAGGTTACAAAACATTTGCCGGGTTCAATGGGGAATTTGTCATTGAATTCATCAACTGGGGATAATCTAGATAGCTCAATGGATGATGCGAAGTTGCAAATTGCTATATCATTGACTCTACTGGTCGGAATAATCCAGGTCAGTATGAAAGCGCCCCCTGTTCAACAAATTATAATGTTCTGATGTTTGTGATGTTACTCTGAGTGTATATCCACACCGGGCAAGCGTGAAAAATATGCCTGGCCACGGTGGGAATCGAACCTACGACCTTTGGAATACTAGCCCAATGCTCTGCCAACTGAGCTACGCGGTCAGGTCGGTTCGAGTATGTGATATTTCGGAACTGAATCTAGTTCCTTGGATGTCAATGCAATCTAGTGATCATGATTTTTTTTGTGTTGGTGTTATGTACTCAGGTGAATATGATTATGTGATATTTCAGTTCCGAAATATCACATACTCGAACCGACCTGACCGCGTAGCTCAGTTGACAGAGCATTGGGCTAGTATTTCAAAGGTCGTACTGTAGGTTCGATTCCCACCATGGCCAGGCATATTTTTCAAGCTTGCTCGGTGTGGATATACACTCAGAGTAACATCACAAACATCGTATTCACCTGAGTACATAACACCAACACAGAAAAACTAAATGTGTAAGAATAAACAACTTACGTAATGTAAATAATGATAGTTTATTAGCTACCCAGACCATTGTCTGAAATTATTAATAAACAGAACTTTGTGTCTAAAGTATCGTTGTTGATCTGTAAAAATTTAATTCTTCTGCACTGTTGTATTACTAAATAGTATCCTTTTTCCAGGCTGCGATGGGCCTCGTACATCTTGGTTTTATTACAGTTTATCTGTCACGACCTCTGGTCAGCGGATTTACAACTGGAGCAGCTTTTATTGTTTTTACCAGTCAAGTGAAGTATTTCTTTGGTATGAAGCCGCCTAGTTATGCTGGTGCATTTGCTTTGCCCAAAGTGAGTTTTGTCGTACTCTGCATTCCCAATATGTTGGGCCAAATGCCAATGGCATTGGCCAAAATCTTGAGAAATGGCAGGCCAAAATAATTTTGAACAAAAAATTGTTTAATTTTATTTGCTTACCACATACTGGTATAGTTAATTTTCTGCGTTAATAATGACTTACGTGGTGGAGATATTTTAAAATACAATTACTTAACAACCAATGAAGAACTTATAACAAGTGATGCTGGTTCATAACACTTCCTTTTCACTGTTTAGACGTACATATACATTTTCAAGAATATATCGGAAACGAACGTTGCAGCATTGCTTACTGGAATAATATGCGTAATCCTTTTGGCGTTGGTCGACTACTTAAATAGACGATACCAATCTCGTTTACCTTTTCCTATACCCTCGCAACTTTTGGTCATTATAATTGGTTCATTTGTCTCACATCAGGCTAATCTAAATTCAGCGTTTGACGTGTCTGTTGTTGGTAGTATACCTCGAGGACTACCACCATTCTCTGTGCCTAAGCATAAATACTTCACTGACCTAATCGTTGACGCATTGTTGATATCTATCGTGGCAGCAACGACTAATTTGTCCCTTGTTAAATTATTCTCCCAAAAACACGAGTACAAAACGGATAGTAACCAAGAGCTGTTGGCGTACGGGACTGTGAATATTATCAGCTCGTTTTTCTCGAGTTTTGTTTCATCTGGTTCACTGTCGCGCTCAGTGGTGCAAGAGAGCATGGGTAAAACACAGATTGCCAGTTTGATATCAAGCTTTGTGATTCTTCTTGTCTTGTTATTCATTGCTCCGCTGTTTGAACCGCTTCCTAAGCCTGTCCTAGCCGCTATCGTTGTAGTGTCTCTTCGCAAGCTGTTTATGCAGTTTGAACAGTTGAAGACTATCGGTAGAATTTCAATAATCGATGCGATGGTATGGCTAATTTCTTGCTTTGCCGTGATTCTTCTTGGTATAGTAATGGGACTTAATATCGGATTTGGGATCACATTGCTCTCGATTATACACCGATCTTCGCACGCGAAGGTGAAAACTTTGGGACATCTGAGACAAACAGATCTCTACCGAGACCGCGAACTATGCTTAGGTACAAAGACTATCAAGGGAATTCGAGTATTACAATTTCAAGGAGCGTTGATTTTTGTAAACGCCGAGGAACTTTTGGATACAATGGTGGAAATGATGCGTGAGAAGTGTCCAGGAAGACATAAAACTGATAGCATAAGTATCAGTGTTAGTGCAGAACCAGAGGTTTTGTCAAACTATTTAGTGG